TCCAACTGTGAGGTTTTGGGGTCTCACTGTGGCTCTGACTGCAGTGTTTGGGTGTTGGGGTGTCCCTGTGGGTCTGACTGTAGTGCTTGGGTGTCCCTGCAAGTCTGTCTTGACTGTAGCTTTGGGTGTTGGGGTGTCACTGTGGGGTTTTGGGGTCTCCCAGTGGATCTGGCTGTAGTTTTGCTTTTTGAGGTGTCCCTGTGGATCTGTCTGACTGTAGCTTTGGGTGTTGGAGTGTCCCCACGTGGGTCTGACTGTAGGTGTGGGTGTTGGGGTCTCCCTGTGGGTTCGACTGTGGGGTTCTGGGGTGTCCCTGTCAGTCTGACTGTAGCTTTGCCTTTTGAGGTGTCTTTATGGAATTTGACTGTAGGTTTTGGGTTTTAGAGTGTCCCCGTAGGTCTGACTGTAGGGTTTGGGGCTGTTCCTATGGGTGTGACTGTAGCTTTGGGTTTTCAGGTGTCCCTGTCGTTCTGTCTGACAGTAGGTTTGGGTGTCAGGGTGTCTCCCCATGGGTCTGACTGTAGTGTCGGGGTGTTTCCAGGTGGAGCGTCACATGTGTGACGGTGACATCGTCATCTTCAACCGTCAGCCCACCCTGCACAAGATGTCCATGATGGGGCACCGTGTGCGAATCCTGCCCTGGTCCACCTTCCGCCTCAACCTCAGGTACCCCACACCACACCCCATAAGTCACCCCAAAAGTGACCCCTGAACTGCCACGGAACCCACAGCTGTGACCCCATACGTGTCCCCATACGTGTTCTCCAACGTGTCTCCTTGTCCCCCAACACGTCCCCTAATATGTCCCTATATTCCCCAGCGTTCCCTGACACGTCCTTGTCATGTCCCCTTGTGTGTCCCCATGTCCCCCAACATGTTCCCATGTCATGTCTCCCAGTGCTTCCCCTTAATGTGTCTCCATACCTCCTGATGCCCCCAGTGTGTCACCCCGTCCCCTCTTGTGTCCCAGTGTCCCCCCACGTCTCCCTTGATGTGTCTGCAATGTGTCCCCATGCCTCCTGATGTCCCCAGTGTGTCCCCCCACATCTCCTTTGATGTGTCCCCACATCCCCCAACATGTCCCCATGCCGTGTCCCCCAACATGTTGCTGTGTCCCCAGTGTGTCCCCATGCCTCCTGATGCATCCCCAATGTGTCACCTTGTCCCCTGTTGTGTCCCCATGTCCCCTCACGTCTTCCTTGAAGTGTCCCCATGCCGTGTCCCCCAACATGTTGTCATGTCCCCAGTGTGTCCCCATGCCTCCTGATGTCCCTTGATGTGTCCACATGTCCCCAGTGTGTCCCCATGCTGTGTCCCCCAGCACGTTGCCATGTCCCCAGTGTGTTCCCCCACATCTCTCTTGATGCATTCCCACGTCCCCCAGCATGTCCCCTCTCCCCATGCTATGTCCCCCAGCGTGTCCCCCCACATGTTGCCGTGTCCCCCCACATGTCCTTATGCTCCGTGCTGTGTCCCCCAAGGTGTCACCATGCCCCATGCTGTGTCCCCCAACGTGTTCTGGTGCCCCATGTTGTGTTCCCCTACACGTCCTTATGTCCCACAAAGTATCACCATGCCCCACGCTGTGTCCCCCAACGTGTTGCTGTGTCCCCAACGTGTCCCGCTGTCCCATGCTGTGTTCCCCTACATGTCCTTATGTCCCACAACGTGTCCCCATGCCCCATGCTGTGTCCCCCAGTGTGTCCCGGTGCTCCATGCTGTGTCCCCCTACATGTCCTTATATCCCCCAAGGTGTCACCATGCCCCATGCTGTGTCCCCCACGTGTTGCTGTGTCCCCAGCATGTCCTGGTGCCCCATGCTGTGTCCCCCTACATGTCCTTATGCCCCATAATGTGTCCCTATGCCCCATGCTGTGTCCCCCTACGTGTCTTTATGCCCCCTAATGTGTCACCATGCCCCATGCTGTGTCCCCTGATGTGTTGCTGTGTCCCCAACGTGTCCCCGTGCCCCATGCTGTGTTTCCCTACATGTCCTTATGCCCCATAATGTGTCACCATGCCCCGTGCAGTGTCCCCCAACGTGTCCCAATGCCACACGCTGTCCCCACGTCCCCCAGCCTGTCCCCGTACTCCCCTGACGTGTCCCCCCTCCGCTCAGCGTGACGACGCCGTACAACGCCGACTTTGACGGGGACGAGATGAACCTCCACCTGCCGCAGTCCCTGGAGACCCGCGCGGAGATCCAGGAGCTGGCTATGGTGCCACGTATGATCGTCACCCCGCAGTCCAACCGCCCCGTGATGGGCATCGTGCAGGACACGCTCACCGCCGTGCGCAAGTTCACCAAGCGCGACGTCTTCCTCGAGCGCGTGAGTCGGGGCACGGACCGCAGCAGTGCGAATGGTGGGGGGCTCAGGGAGGGGCCCTCAGGGGGCAGTGCTGGGGCTGGCGATGCACAGCAGCTTCGTCTGTGGTAGGGGGGGATGTGGAGTGAACCCTCAGTGGGGTTGGATGCATCGAGCTGAGCGCTGCTGTCGATGTGCTGGGAGGAAGGGAAGGCGTCCGGGGGGACTTGGGTAGGATGGAGAAGGGAAGGCATTCGGGCGGAGCTGGATGGGATGGAGGAAGGGAAGGCATCTGGGGGGAGCTGGGATAGGATGGGGGAAGGGAAGGCATCCAGGAGGGGACCTGGATAGGATGGAGGAAGGGAAGGCATCACAGGGGAGCTGGATGGGATGGAGGAAGGGAAGGCATCACAGGGGAGCTGGATAGGATGGAGGAAGGGAAGGCATCCGGGGGGACCTGGGGAGCTTTAGGTTGGATTTGAGGAGGAAGTTTTTCACCCAGAGGGTGGTGAGGCACTGTTCACAGGTTGCCCAATGAGGCTTGGATGCCCCATCCCTGGAGGCATTCAAGGCCAGGCTGGATGTGGCTCTGGGCAGCCTGGGCTGCTGGCTGGCGACCTGCACATAGCAGGGGCTTGAAACTACGTGATCACTGTGCTCCTTGTCAACCCAGGCCATTCTGTGATTCTGTGATAAAATAAGCTTTGTACGTACAGCTTGCAGGGCAGCTTAGGCAGGCCTTGTTATCAGCACTAAGCCCGAGGTTTTGTGGTTAGAATGCCTTCCTGGCAGCTGCTTTGCCCTCTGAAGGGGGTTTGGATGGGGGCAGTGCTGCAGGATTTCTGCCTGGGATATCAGCAATATTTGCAGTATCTCAGCAGGCTGTTGGTGCTTCCCTTTGGAAGCAGCTCCTCGAGTAAAGCTTTGGTTCAGTGGTTGGAAGAGATGGCCATAGAGGTCTTCTCCAGCCTTAATGATTCTATTGTTCCATGATTTTGGGGGCTGTGGGGGGTCATAGGGCATTTATGGGGGGTTATGTGGTGAGAAGTCATGGGGTGGAGGTTATGGAATTATGGGGTGGGCCATTATGGGGTGGGGATTGTGAGGTGGGAAGCCGTTGGGGGTTATGGGATGGGAAGTTAGGGTCATGGAGGGGATGTGAGTTGGAAAGTCATTGGGGGTTATAAGGTTGGGATGGTGTTGTGGGGTAGGGATGTAGGGATTTGTGGGGTGGGGAGTCATTGGGGTTATGGGGTGTGGGGATGGGGGTTGTGGGCTGGGAAGTCATTGTGGGTTGGGGGGGTGGGAAGTCATGAGATTATGGGGGATTTATGGGGTAGGGAGGGGGTTTATGGGGAAGGAAGTCATGGGTTTATGGGGTGGGGGTTATGGGGTGGGAATGGGGATTGTGGGTCACAGTGGGGGGGATTTGGGGCCAATTTTGGTGTGCCCTAAATGCGCCGTGGGCTCTCCAGGGGTGTCACGAGCACCTTTGGGTGACTTTTGGGTCCAATTTGGGTGTCCTAAATGCCCAGAAGGGTTCTGGGTGATGTCGGGAGCACCTTTGGGAGGTGTTGGGCCAAATTTGGGGCAATTCTGGAACAATTTTGGTGCGATTTGGGATGCCTTAAAGGCACAGGGGGGTGTTCTTAGAGGATTTCTGGGCATTTTGGGGTCAGCGTGGGAGATTCGGAGCAATTTTGGGGATGTCAGGAGCACCCTTGGGTGCCAACGTCTCCAACTTGAGTCCACTTTTCAGCCATTTTGGCACTTTCTGGCCACCCCTCACGACTTCCAGCCTCAACCCCTCCCCCTCCATATTTTGGGGGTGCTGAAGCCCCCCTCCCCGATTTCCCTGCAGGGGGAGGTGATGAATCTGCTGATGTTCCTGTCGACGTGGGACGGCAAGGTGCCGCAGCCAGCCATCCTCAAACCTCGCCCCCTCTGGACGGGGAAGCAGATCTTCTCACTCATCATCCCTGGGCACATCAACTGCATCCGGACCCACAGCACCCACCCCGACGACGAGGACAGCGGGCCCTACAAGCACATCTCCCCCGGGGACACCAAGGTCGGGGGTCCTGGGAGGGTCGGGGGTCCTGAAGGAGTGGGATGGGGAGTGATACTGGGGGGTTTAGAGTCGCTGTAGTGTTACTGGGGGGGCTCAGAGACCCCACAGGGGTATTTAGGGGGCTTTTGGAGACCCCATATGGTACTTGGAGATATCTGGGGGGCTCAGAGCCCCCCATAGTGTTATTCTGGGGGGGGGGGAAGGGGACTCGGAGCCCCCATAGCGTTACTGGGGGACTTACAGACCCCATAGGGGTATTTGCGGGTGTCCTAGAGGGCTCAGAGACCCTATAGGGTTATGTTGGGGTGTTGGAGGCCCTGTAGCATTACTGGGGGGCTCAGAGACCCCATTGAGGTATTTTGGGGTATTGGAGACCCTGTAGGATTATCTGGGGGGACTCAGAGCCCTCATAGCATTATTGGGAGGCTTGGAGACTGCATAGCGTTATTTTGGGGGTGGTGCTCAGAGACCCCATAGGGATATGGGGCGGCTCAGAGGCCCCATAGGGTTATTTTGGAATATTGGAGATCCTATACTGTTACTGGGGGGCTCAAAGACCCCATGAAGTGTATTTGGGGGATTTCCTGGGGTGCTCAGGGACCCCACAGCATTTTTGGGGGGGGCTCAGAGACCCCACAGCATTTTTGGGAGGGGCTCAGAGACCTCATAGTGTTACTGGGGGGCTGGAGGGTCAGAGACCCCATAGGTTTACTTGTGGTATTGGAGACCCCGTAGGGTTATTTTGGGTAGAGGGGTTCAGTGACCCTATAGGGTTACCTTGGGGTATTGGAATCCCCATAGAGTTACTGGGGTGGGGGGGGCATTCTGTGGGCTCAGTGACCCTACACCATTATGTGGGGGCTCAGTGACCCCATACCATTATGTGGGGGCTCAGTGACCCCATACGATTATTTGGGGACTCAGTGACCCCATAGGGTTACGTTGGGGTATTGGAATCCCCATAGAGTTACTGGGGGAGGGGGCATTCTGCAGGCTCAGTGACCCCATACCATTGTGTGGGGGCTCAGTGACCCCATGGGGGTTATTGGGGGGAGGCTCAGAACTCCTGTAAGAGTTACTTTGGGATATTGAAGATCCCGTAGAGTTGTTGTAGGGCTTGGAGACTCCATAGGGTTATTCTGAAGTACTGGAGATCCCATAGTATCACTGGGAGGGGGGACTGAGATTCCCCCATAGCATTACTGGGGTGGGTCGGGGGGTGGGGGGTTCATCTTTTTGGGGTTTCCTGCCTACCACCCCCAGCTGAGGGCTGTTCCCCACGCAGGTGGTGGTGGAGAACGGGGAGCTGATCATGGGCATCCTGTGCAAGAAGTCTCTGGGCACGTCGGCCGGCTCGCTGGTGCACATCTCCTACCTGGAGATGGGCCACGACACCACCAGGCTCTTCTACAGCAACATCCAGACCGTCATCAACAACTGGCTGCTCATCGAGGGTACGGGGGGGGG